CAAGGGGGCCCAAAAGGGGCTGAAGAATCCTCTGAGGGCTTTTAGGTGCAAAACTGCAATTGGTTTTGGGCTTAGAGCTTTCAGCTTGTCCCTTGCCTTGTCCCGTGCATGCCATGTGTGAGCACAGCCCAGCTGCCACATCTTCCCCAGGACTTCAGTGTACCTGAGCTGTGCTGCAGAGGAAGGATTTCTCTGCAGAGCTCCCTGGGCAGGTAGAACAGAGAGCGGATGCTGAAGCAGATGAGGGATTCACGCACCTACAGTTGTGGAAATCCTCCCTGCGCCAGGGGCCACAGGGAGCTCACCAGCGATCCCTGCCAGGGTTTTGCGATGGGGATGAGAACTGGAAGAGCAAAAGTGAGAAAACTTGTGGGTTGAGATAAAGACAGTTTTATAGGTAAAGCAAAAGCTACACACACAAGCAAAGCAAAATAAGGGATTCATTCACTCCTTCCCACCAGCGGGCAGGTGTTCATCCATTGCCAGCAGAGCGGGACTCCATCACGCATAACAGTGATTTGGGAAGACAAATGCTATAACTCTGAATGTCTCCCCACTTCCTCCTTCTTTCACCGAGACAGTTTAATAAGGGGAAATAGAAGAAAACCAACCAACCAAAAAAAAGAAAACCACCAAAAAAAAAACCAAACAACCCACCAAGTGATGCAAAAGCCGTCATTCACCACTAGCTGGATGATGGCCAGCCAGTCCCTGAGCAACAGCCACCCTGGCAACCCCTCTGCCTATGCTCCCAGCCCTTGGGGAACAGGATTTTGGCTGCAGCACCTCCAGGGATGCTTTCACAGCAGAGGCAAAACCCATCCAGTGCTGGGGGATGACCCTGACATCCAGAACCAGAGGTCTCATGGGCACGAAGAAGCAGGTGGAGATCAGGAGGTGCTTCGGTCTGAGGAAGACTTCTAAACTGTTGCCTTTCCTCTTCAGGAGCCTTGAGACCATGGAGACACCGTGTTTGCTTGGTCTTGGTGCCCTCCCCTGACAGCTGTGGCATGGGTGCAGCCCAGACCCCAGGGCTCCATCTGGATGGGGAGGTCCAGCTCAGCATGGTGCAGGGGGTGACTGCAGCCTGCCTGAGAGCCCAGAGCCAAGCAAGGTGAAACATTCCATCACCTGGAGGAGCCAGTGCCAGGGCCGAGCGGGGCCTCACCTGCATCCTGGTCCTTCATTCACCTTCCCCAGCGTCGGCTCCTGGCAGAGACCGGCTGGCACAGAAGTAGCATCACTGTGGCCTTGGCCCCAGCTGAGCCCATTGAGAGACCTCGTGCCTTGGCCCACAGTGTACATGGGTCCCACCAACCCCTGCCCCACGGTGCACATGGGTGCTGCCAGCCCCCTGGCCAGCGGCCATCCTGCTGAACAGGAGCAGGTCCCAGCAGGGTCCTGCCTGCCAAGCTCCCTGGGAAGGCCTGGCCCGGAGCATCCCTCCTACCCATTGGCATGGGCTGGCAGTGCTGTGCCAAGCAGTGCGGGGCTGCCGAGGCCACTGGGAGCTGGAGGAAGCTGGGGCCGAGGAAGAGGGAACAGCTGGTGTCCCTGAGCAGGGGGAGCCAGCTGTGGGGCACCAGCCCCATAGCATCCAGCCCCATGGCATCCAGCATGGTAGGGCAGGGGCCAAGGACTTGGGCCATCCTTTGGAGCTGCGGTCTCCAACCAGCACAGTCCTCTGCTGCTGCTGTCGCCTGGGGATGGGGACAGGACCAGGGCTGTGACGCCACTGCCAGGGCTGTGATGCCATCATGTGCATCAGAAACCCTTGGCAGAGGGTCCTGCACAGCTGTCAGGAAAGGACAAGCTGAAGCACCTCCTGGTGCACCCCAGAGATCTCCACCTGCCTCTTGGTACCCATGAGACCTCTGGTTCCCAGACCTACAGGGAACAGACTCGCCCCACAGACACTCTACCTCTGATGTCCTCCAAACAGGGTCCGTGGGACTGGAGAATGGCCATGGCATGGATGCTTGGGACCTCAGGGCAGCCTTTATACTTGTATATTAAAGAATTGGTTTTCTTCTGCTTTAATTTCTTTTCCTTTCCATGCATTTGCATTGCCATCAACTTTATTGCTTGCGGAGTAGTTGCCTGCTGCTTAGACGCATACCCTTAGCACAACCAATTATTAATTGAACAGGCATATAGGTTACTATTATAGCCATTAGCCCTCTACATATAGACTTGAACAAGGTTTTAAGTACCTTTCCAAACCATCTGCCAATGTGTGGTGTCCAACCCCACTCGTCAAAGGGTTTGTTTTTTCATTTTATGAAAAAAACTTTAGGTGGCTTTGGATTGTCATTACATCTGTTTCTATTCTTTTGTCTTGGTCTACACAGAAACAGCCACTGGTGTTCATGAGAGCACGAACCCCTCCTTTGGCCTCTAATAGATCATCTAATGCCAATTGGTTTTGTACTACCATTTGAGATCTAGATTTCACCTCTATTTGTAAGGTCTTTCTGGTATCTACCATAGCATTTGTAATACTACTTCCCTTGACACACTTGCTATCACTGCCTTTTCCAATTCTATTTTTCCTAGCCATGGCAGAAGGCTCTGGTGAACTTAGGAAATTTCGTTATTGCTATAGTTTCATCTTTGCCTTTCCGGCTGTGGCTGATGGTGATGAAGACTTCCTCCAGAGAGGGTTTTGGTGGCATCAGTGTCAGCGAGCAGCATCCCCACTGTGTGAGTGCCTTGTGTTCTTCCATTTTCTTTGGCATTTATTATATGCAGAGGATTCACATATCCTGTTAAACTATTATGATTACCCACTCAAAAAAACCCCATTGTATGAGTCAGAAAATATTTCCCATCTCTACATTATTTATTTTTGTCTGTGCCTACCCATTTTAATTTCTAAAGTAGGGTTTTCCCTCAGTCAGATAGTTTGTATTCAATTCTAAATTATAGTGAGGTTGCAGTTGGTCTGGACATCAATAAAATCATGTGCGCAGCCTGTCCCTTCTCTTCTCTCTACACAGATGCTGCTTGTCTTTGCATTTGCCTAACCAGGCAAATCTGGGGAAGGCCCTGGAGCTCCACACCTGGAGAAGAGGCTGTGCTGCTGGTGGGGATGGCCCAGGAGGCTGCCGGGAGCACCCCAGGCATGACAGTTTTGAAGGGGCTGGAGAAGACTAAAGCCAAGCCCAAAGGTCCTCTGCTGGGGCAGGGACACAGAGGAAAGCCTGGTCCTCCAGAGACCCTCTTGGGTCCTCTCCAGGCCTTCAAATACCCCAAATACTTCAAATACATGCACTGATTTGCTTTATGAAGAGCAGTGGAACAGTGGAGGCATCTACTAACACTTCTGATGGGACTGGGAACAGGATTAATTAGCTAAGGGAAAGGAGGAGCAACTGTGCCTCAGACAAGCCTGAAAAGGGAGCTCAGAGTTTGGCATGTCAGGAGATGTGAGCTGGAAAAAGCCATTAGCTCAGTTCTCCCTTAATTACAGCCTTTTGCTTTTAACCGATGTCTAGGAGGTGGTGTGACCCTGGTGGCTTGCTGGGCTCAAAGCTCTGTACACTGGGGACATGGCAGGAGTTGCAAAAGGGAAGGTGGGAGAGCCGGGGGGATGCAGAGACTGTAGGAGGGGGCTCAGGGGCTGCATATCGGGTATTTTGTTCTTGCAGAGCCCTTTCCTGGGGAAAGAGGCATTAGAAACCAGCAGTGCCATGCCCAGCTCTCCGCATAGCCACCCTGCCGCTGTGTCAGGCCACCAGACATGATGGCCAGCAGACCACAGCTTCCAAAACAGATTCATCAGCACATTTGATTTGTTTCCTTCTCCTTTCTTCTTCCAGAGAAGTGCAGACATGAGATAATCTTCAAGGAAGTCCATTTCCACCTTTTGTCTTCTCTGAGAAGCCCCCCCTTACCTCATCCCCAAGCCACAGCCATATCCCGTCCCGTGCTCCCGCTCACCATCATCCCACTTGGCTTCCCACTGGGTCATCACCCCCTCCTCGCACGCAGACTGCAGCTGCATCTCGCCTTCCTGAGGAGCAGATCTCTGCATGGAAGCTGGGCTGATGTCCACCAGTACTCCACGGTGCTGCCAGTGGGGTCTGTGCCACCCACCCCTCCTGCCCTCGGGGTCCTCTCTGGGGTCTGGGATGGCTCTCTTGGGGTTGTGGTAGGGTTTGTCCCATCTTTCTGCAGAAATGAGCTGCCTGTGCACTGATGACCACAAAGCTCCATCCCTCTGACCCTCATTTCGATGTCGTCAGAGGTGTGGGAGGCAGAGGCAGTGCTTGGGCTTAGACTTGGGATCAGACCCAGACTTTCCTCAGCCACCCCGCTGCTGTTGCCCCATTTCTTCCCCTTCTGTAAAGTCTCCTGAACCCACTAAAAGCATCTCTGCCACCCCCTGCTCTGGGGTCCCTCCTAGTTTGGTCCAGTGTGTCTTTTTCTGCCTGACATCCCATCCCATCCCGTCCCATCCCGAGTGCTTCACTGCCTAAGCCAATGCTTTTGCTATGGCCAGGGGGGTTGGGGAGGCTGGTTTGGAGGGGAGTCATTAGTCACTTGCTTTTGATGACTCAGCAAACCCGTCAATGACCTGCTCCAGCTCAGAGATTTTGTTTGGGTTGTCTGTCCTGTTAGAAATAAGCAGGCAAGCATTAGACTTGATGTCTTGCCTTCACAGAAAGTTGCTTCTAATCTGGTTTCGTGGGTAAATTTCAGTTCCCCCATAGCCTCCTGGAAGCCCCTTGCAGCTTGTAGCTTTTCTGCAGAAAGCAGAAGTGGCTGCCCCGCTCCTCAACCTCTTCCACCCGCTGCTGGATGTGCCTTCAAAATAGATGACAGAAATCCCGTTTTCCCTGGGAAGAGACTTCTGAGAACACGTCTGAAATTTTTGGAAAAGCAGTTAAAGTGGATGACATGCAGAGGATAAATTACGGTGCAGTGAGAGCCAAAGCCACAGACGCCGGGCAGGGTGGCACAAAGCAGGACAGAAGAAGAGCCCTCACACAGCCACCATGCTCGCTGCAAGGACAGTCCTGCTGCTCGTGCTGCTCCTCACCTTCTCCCTGCACTGTGCTGCAGGTAAGGCACCTCATGGGTCACCGCTGCAGGTCAGGGCTTGGGGTCCCCACTGGGGATGTCCCGTTGGGGTCGTTGGGCAAGAAGCCCCAGTAGGGAGCAGGGACAGTGCTGCTGGCAGGAGGAGCAACCCCCTGGTCGGGGCAGGGCGGCACGTCCCGGGGTGCGGGGAAGGACGGAGAGGGTGCTGGGTGGCCTCAGCAAAGCCAGCCCTGGGGAGATGCTCCAGGAGCTTGGAGGAGATGTTGGCAGCCGTTCCCCAGGTCTCAGCTGGATGAGCAAGTGCTTGGAGGGGGGGAGCATGTGCAGCTGTTTGGAGCCTCCCAAAACACCTTGCAAGTTGTGCTCCTGCCTTGAAAACCCGCAAAACCTCGTCCCCAGACCGAACACCCCAACCTCACTGTGCACTTTGGCAGCTGCAGCAATGTGGGCTGTGGGATGCCAGGTCCCACACCGTTCCCCTCCCCACTGCTGACCATATTTCCCAGTCCTGTGCTTGCTGCCATGAAGGGAAATTAATCCCTGCCATGGGATGCTGTGGGAGCTGCTGAGAAGCTCCACCGCCTCCATCCTGTGTTCGACATCCTGCAGTGTCATTGTCTGGCGATGCAATTAGTTGCAAAATGCTGCCAAGGGCGTTTACAACATCTCTCCCTTCCCTTCACAGCCTACAACACGCCCACCGAATGCTGCTTCAAGCATGCACAGAAACCCATCCGACACATACAGAATTTCTATGAGACACCCAGCGACTGTTCCTTGCCTGCAGTTGTGTGAGTACCCCTGGGGTTTGCCTCCCACCTCCAGCATGGCGTCACGGTTGGGTCCCAGCTGGGAGCACGTGCCTGGTGGGGGGAGCTATGGTAGGAAAGTAGCTCCGTGGGGTGGGCAGAGGGGAAAAAAAATTAGGTTTTGGTGCTTTCTGCTAATGCCAGTGGTCTGGGAAGACTCAGACATGCACCGTCAGCCTGAGGAGGGCACCGGCTGCTGGAGATGGCTCCAAGCCTTCATCCAGGATGAGCCTGCACACAGCAAGGGGAGAAGTCATGCATGGGAAGGGAATGGCTTGTGGTTCATGTTTTCACTCTCTTTCCTCACTTTCTCACTGCAGGATTGTAGCTGCCAGCGGTGCCAAGGTCTGTGCTGACCCCAAGAAGCCCTGGGTAAAGAAAGCCATGAAAAAGCTTCGAAGGAAAAAATGAAATCCTCCTTCTGCCATCCACCATCTGACCTGCCTGTCCAGTCTTCCCATCTTTGGAGGGAGCAGACAGCGCTCACGGCACATCTCCAAAGGGTCCCAAGGTGGTGGACACTGTCACTGCAGGTGGAGCCAGCCCGTACCCTGGCTGGACCAGGTGTCACAGCAGCATGGACCAGCTGGCCACCAAGTCCCTCCCGTTGTCACTGCCCTACCGGTATGTGCCCAGTGGAGCAAATATTTATAATAAAGACTCATTGCCAAAAGTTGCTCTTTGAATTTTTCCTGATTCTTCAGCCCAAGGAGCAGATCCTACAAGCCCAGGGCATTGTGCGACCAAAAAACTCCTTTGCCACAGGCATGTGTTTCTCCAGGCTTGGACCAAACTATGCCTTGTTATGGCGTGCTTCATTGGGAATGTGATAGTGGGGCCAGATCCTGACCCATAGGTCAAGGACCCACAGGGAAGGTTACCCTTGCCCATAGGTAAGGCTATATGTCCTTACAGCATGCTCTCAGCCCCATGGGCTTTGCAGGTGCTCCAAAATGAGGTGGTTGGGAGTGGAGGGTTCAGGGAGAAGATACTGATCTGCCAAGCCCTTAATACCTTGTCAGCTTCCATATATGCTGGTGGTCACTGCAAAATAAGTAAGGGAGATGAAAAACAATGTCCGCATTGCAAGGAGGGGGAGGACACAACCCCTTCAGCTGGGCAGAAGAGATGTCCTGGCTGCTGACCTTCTGCAGGGCCGGGGAGGGCTGGGAGCAGCACAGGACCCTGCTGTTAACACCAAGCTGCTGGTCCATCATTTCGTGTGAGAGGTGCAAAGCCAGGAAAACCTCAGAAAGGTGAAGCCAAGAGTTGTGGTTAAGTGCCATGGACTGATCCTCAGCATAAAGCTTCATGAGTGTTTCATGCCCATGATTAGAAACCAGGGCAGGGCTGTATTTTCTAGGACACTGAATGGAGGCAGGGGACAGGAAAAATATCCCAAATGACATTTTTGCCCACAAATCATTAAGCACCATGGGATGAAGCACTGGTGGAAAGGAAAGCTGAAGCAGAATCAGATTTTGGGAGACACGTCTCATGGATTGTGCTTGGCTGTTTATAGACACAAAGCTCCAGGGTTACACCTTCACAGCACATAACACTGAGGGCTACAATGGCTACGTTGTCTTCTGAAAGAAAAAATGGGTGTGCAAGTAGCCGTGCAAGGTGGTAAGCTTGTGTATAGACACCCCCAGTCTGTATTTCATAAACTCTTTAAACACTTTACTTATGAAACTGAGCAGCCTTCCCCAATCACTCGAATCTGAGGGTTACAAAGATTATTTCCACCATTATTTTTTTTTAAGCACCACTGAAAATCACAATTATGTAGGCCCAAACCCAGATTATTACAGGTGGACAACATGATGCTCAAGGGGAAAAAGCAATTCTTGCCATAGCACACAGCTAATCTGGAAATTTTTGACCTGCAGAAAGAGTGGTGGTGAACAAGATGTGAAAGGTGTTACAAGATGCCATTGCCAACAAGAGGTGAGGAAGGCCAGCAGATCATCTAGGAATATTATGGGGATGACACATAGCACCCTCTGTGACAAAGGTGGTGATGGAAATGTGGGAGAAACACCATCTGCCTGTATTACAGAGTAAGCCTTGATGAAAAAAAAATCATTATTACAATTTTACTAGTCTCTATCCCTTCGTTAACAAAGTAAAATGACACTCCACTGGGCACACTGACGTTATTCCTGAGGATTTTACCACCCTGACAGCCTGTTTTGGGCAACAGGGAATGGAGTTGCGGTGATGTTCAGGACTCATCCAGACCCCAGGGACCTCCTGCTCAGGGACCACTCACGTGAGCTGACGAGTGAGATGCTGCCGGGTGGGAATGTGACCGATTGCGTGGCATCAGGACCCAAGATGCAGGAGGTGGTCCACAACAAAAAGGGCACCAATTAATAATTTCCAGGGTCTGCCCTAGGGGTTTGGCCATAAGCAGGTGCTGGACACACTCCTTGTCCACTATTTCTAGGAGAGCTTAGCAACTGTGGGAGAAGCAATTCTGTAGAAAGTTTTGAAGAACAGCCATCACGTGCTTTCTGTTATGCCAAGAAAATCTTACAGCAGAAATATATATAGGTGTCAGCAGCTGCTGCATCATGAACTGCCCCATAAGTACCCATTATAGAAGCTGGGTAGGGCCTACCTGAAAGACTTAGTGATAATTGCTTGTTTCTCTCCAATAATTGTACGTGAGGCAGCAATGCCCGAGCCAACAGCCTGCCCTGACCCACGTAATGACAGGGACACACTCCTGCTGGTGTCTGCTTGCCCCTGGGTGGGAAATACCCATCCTGGAGCCCGCTCACTCTTGTTGGGCAGACCCCAGCTCCTTTCACCAAGTGCTTGGTCCCAGGGCTGATGCCTCCCGAGCTGTGGGGCATCACTGCACTAACCACCCTGCTGTCCTGCCCGACGGCTGCCTGTGGGCAGGCAGCCCTGCTCCGGCAGGGCCGGACCCCATCCCATGTCAGAGGGGACACAAGGTGCCGCTGGCACCAGCTCCGCCGCTCACCTTCCCCAGCGAGCAGAGACTGACAAAGCACACGGCTCCACGGTAGCTCTTGCACATGGATGTGTATTTTAATAAAAATAATTCTGTCAATATACAGCAGAACGTCGATTTCTTTACCATATTTCCAGTATATTTTCATAGGCTTTTTCTCAGTTAAAATCCCCCCCTCCCCTTTTTGAAGTTTTCATGCGAAGCGTCAGATAACTTAATTCACAAATACTAAGCTTAGACTGAACCAATGTGCACAATTTGTGTAATGTCCATCATTTGTGTAACGTCCATTTAGCCAATGTTGTACCAAAGGCGATGAGAAGTCTGGAGTGGCAGAGGGAGATCTGCTCTGTCGCAGCCCAGTGGTGGCCATTCCTCCAGGGCTGGTTGGAAACCTGCAAAGACCTCGCACCCCATGCTCCAGCTGAGCGTTTCATACCTGAGTTTTGAGCAACCAGCAGAAGAGAGTTAACTGCATGGTGGGCAGGTCCTGGGGCTTGCACTGCCAAACAGGTTGCGTGCAAGAGCTTCAGGTGCCGGCAGCCTCCTCCTGCCTTCCCTGGCTGGAGAGCCGTGAAGAGCATGCACAGGTAGGACCGAGAGAGACAATCCCAATCAAACGCCTGTGCAGAGTCCTTGGTCTGGAAGAGTCACCATACTTGTATTTTTAAAATTTTCTTTAAAATCCTGATTATCCCCAGAGTTGCTGCTGCTTCTCCTTTCTCCAAGTTTGAGCCTGTGAGAAGCCCAGCCTGCAAAAAATCCCCTGTGCTCCCTCCCGGAGGAAGGATGCAGCTAAAGCCCTCCTAAGCAAAGGGGTCAGAGCACGTGCCTGGACCCAACTGGAGTGACCAGAGAAAAGGTGTCTGCCTGGCCAGAGAAAGTTCAACAAGGAGCAGAGGCCTGCATGGCCTCCAGGAATGTTTCTGTGGCAATGTGAGTGAAAATCCCACACGGGACTCGGCTTCCTGCGAGCAGGAGAGAGTTAAGCCTCCCTCTTGGAAATAAAACAGCTGGCAGGACGTGTGCTCCTCCAGCCCGGATGAACCCTCGGCTTGCTGGGCACTGCAGGCTCAGAGCTCTGGTGTGGGACACAGGGAGAGGGACAGACGTGCCACGTTCACTCATCCATCACCTGCCACCTCTTGTTGCAGGGAAGGATGGTGGAGAGGAGCTAGGCCTCCAGGCTCTCAACAGCTCCCCTTTCCTCCCCAAATCTGCTGTAGCTCCCCCAACACTCACCCCACCAACATTTCCTCCAGCTCTCTGACCTACGCAGCAGATGGGACATGGCTCACAGCCAGTTTCTGGCTCTGAGTAAGAGCTGCTGGACTGCAGTTCCCTCCATCGGTCATTCTTCTGGGGCAGAAGGGTGCCAGCAGCACACAGCACATGTGCCGTGTTGTCTGCCCTCCCCCCCCCCCACACACACTTTTGCAGAAACACTTTGGGACAGAGATGTACAGCTCCAGTCCCAACACCAGCTCTCTACAAGTAACCTCCGGATACACCACTCAGGCTGCTCTAACATGGGCAAGGTTTGAAGGAAGTTGCTCCTTCTGCAAAGACGACTCCCAGGTGGACCTGGATCACCTTTTCAAGGAACGTGTTCCTTCTCTCATGCTGCGACCAGCTCCATGGGGCCTCACTGCGCCCAGGACCTCTCCGCCTGCCACCCTGTGGGGCAGGTGAAGTCTGCACACTGCTTCTTCACGGAAAGAACATCCCCATACTGTGTTGTGCACCATGCAGCTTCGTGGCATTTACACGCTGCTATATAGCCTGGCTACCATGGTTCACCTTCTCAATCAACCCCACGACGCCAGAAGGAACTCTGAAACTTGCATCTAAGCAACATGTGCTACGTGAGTATTAAGAAAGACAGGTACCAAAGCAGAGCAGCATCACAGCAATCCAACAAGGTCTGCTTTGCTGGAGAAGGAGATGGTTCACCACCCCTGATGCCTAAGGAGGAAAATGTTAAATTCAATCTCCAGAGCTAGTTACACCAGCTCTGGTTGTTCCAGTTGTTCAAGGGAGCCTCAAGAACAAAGCTATTTAAAGAATGGTAAAGATGCCTTAATAAGACTATGAGAAAAATAAGGACACAGCTTGAGGACAGGTTGAGATGTCATTGAAAAAAACCAGATAGAATAAGGAAGCAGATGGGAAAATTCTACGTGTATGCAACCACGAGGTACTATACTGAAGGGGCCCATCTTCCACACCAGTCACAGCTGCATCTCCTGGTGTCCACATCAGGTCGGCAGCAGCACATTGAGCACCACCAGGATGTTGGAAATAAAAACAGGCTATAGCACTGATAACCACACAGATTCCACATGTCTCAAAGCAATAAGCTCGTTCTGGTACACATAGGGGGCTGGAGGGGAGAGAGAGCAGCCACTGGACAACCTCCCCGCAA